ACTATGAGGTAAAAATATCTTTTACGAATTGTTCTACGGGCGAAAAATGATTTCTACCGAATTATCTGAACGGAACCAAATCATCTCGTCAAATTATCTGTATGGTTGTACATGAACCCTTAATTCTTGAAAATTCACAGATTTCGGATTGTATAAGCGCGTAAATTGAAGTATTATTATCATTTACAGAATTTCCGACATATGAAAGATTCTTTGAGCATATAATACCAATATTTTTCTACATCATCAAAAATTCTGAAAAATTTATAAGCGTTTCTTGATAAGAAAATGTTGTTTGTAAACTTCTTCAGATTTTTTGATTGTGTAATTTCGAAGATAAACAAAGGAATTTATGCGGAATCCGGAACAGGTTCTAACCCCTTCCACTCAATATATCAATTTTAGTGGACGAAATTTCATACGCAAATGTTTTATTTTTTTATTTTCTTAGAATTTTCAATTTTTTTTTGTCCCTTGAATATATCTCAATACATTTCATTGAAAAAAAAAATATTTTTCTTTCGGCAATTTGAACAGTTTTAGGATTCTCAAAAAATGTGAAAATAATCGATATAGGGAATTAAATAAATTTATAATTGTTCTGAGGGGAGACTTCAATTTGCTGGCGGGAAAAAAATTAAAAGTAGTGCAATTTTTTTTTCTTGTGATACCTGCCTGAAAAGTGCTACGCACTCAAAATTCACTCGAGGCCTGCTGTTGGGCTCTACGCACTTGTATACAAAACAATCACTTTTTCCCCACTACCATTCCGAATAGTGAACTCATAAAAAATAGGATATGTCACACATGCGTACGAATAAATGAAACTTTACGCACTATTAACACCATATATTATTTTTGGTTAGCTGATTCAAGTATCTACTCATTCAATACATCGATTATTCGGACATTTTTTTCACGAAATGGAACAGTACGAACGTTCGAATTGGAGGAAAAACACATTTTCATTTCTTTTCTCAATTAAATGCGTGCAAATGCATTCATATAAGGCGAGTAAAAATTAAAGAAATGAAAAAAAAAGTTGAAAAATTGTGTTTGAACCTTTTTTTCGGAGTCTAATTCATTAAGTTGGGTGGGTGAGAACCTTCTTCTTTGAATATACGCACCCAAGGAATGGGGAAAGAAAATTTACAATTTTTTTTCAACACCAGAAAACACTTCTATTTGTAATTCCCCAGATGTGAATTGGACATGTAATTTTGTTTTACGTCCTTAATGATACAGATTTTCATCCGACTTTTGCACCGGGGATCAATCATTCGTCATTTTTTTATGTTATTAAAAATAATGTTGTTTTCTACTTCAGAAAAAAAACTGGGTAATTGTCCATTCTCCCGCACATTGTCATTCTTTTCTGAAAACTATTTAATACTTTATCGAACACTTCAGGAGCATTCATTAGCAACTTATCATCATGGCATTGAGAAAGGACTCCTTCACATTCAAATAGTTTTCAACAATTGACAATCGAGATACTGACTCCCTGCAGGTATACCTGGGTTCTTTTACAGCCGCGCGCTTGGTCAGTGGGAAGAAGAAAAAGGCAATAAACCTTTTTATATTAATGAGCTGAGTTTCGAGGCATGGGAAACTCCCGATGGAGTTCTACATATTCGAGAATTCCCAAACTTTTCGAAGAAAATGGGACACTTTTTTCCATTCCGGTATTCCCCAAATGGCTAAAAAAACAGAGAATCATATGAGTTTCCATTTCCAGAACGCACAAATAAAATCAACTATAGGGAACGTACATTTCCTTCAGGTTAATCAAATTTCCCTCTCAACTCAATGAGTGGATTTGCTCAAACTGAAAGAGTGGAAGGAGGTGAATGATTGTATTTGTATAGATTGAATAAAAATTTGCCATTTTATATATTTTGAATTTCGCATTTTTTCAAAGATTGAGAGTCAGCCGTATAAAGCTGTACTTTAAATTTAAATTTAATTTTATCTACTGGGACAATACGTACGAAAAAATATCATTGAAAAACCTAGCAAATTCACTAGATAATTCTATTGGATTTCTATTGAACTTTTTATTAGTTTTTGGCCTATTCTATTGAAAAATTCCCCATCTCCTTTGCGATTTTTTTTTCATCACAATGTACAGCAGTAAATATTCTATCAACAAATCGATAGAATTCAATTTTCCTATACATCTCATAATCTAATTTTATTCAGATATTTTCTATAGAAATTTCTGGACTCGTATTTTCCAAAAAATTTTTGTTAAGGGAATAAGAAGAAAAATGAAATGGAAAATGCTTAGAAAATTCATGTCAAGGAATTCTTATAAAAAATGTCTCAATAAAAAAAGTTTCAGATAAAGATAAAATACTATCTACTGATTTTCTTTATGAAATGCGTTCTCTTGGATATTTTCCATGAAAAAACGCGTTGTAAACCTGCGGAATTATTCCATAGAATCAGCTATAAACTATAGTTATTATTATAGATTTTTCAATGGGTGTTGAATAGAAATACAATCGAATATTCTATTCAATTTGTGAGATTTGTCTATCAAATTTTTTACTCCGCGATGGGTCAAATCGGACAGAGATTATACCCGACTAGAAATTTGACTCAGCGAACCCTTCGGCCCTGATGCGGCATGCCGAGCCTGACGTTCGGCGCTGGTGTGGTCAACCGAGTCCGGCCCAGATGAGGCGCGTTACGCGAGTTTCACGTTCGGGCCAGATCATGGTTGCCGTATCCAACCCGAGTCGTAGGGGCCAATTAAAATTATTATTAATCTTATTGGTAATTTATCATCAATTATTGCTCATTCAATCTCCACTCTCGAAATCGTTCCGAAATTTTTTACATGACACCGGTTCAATAATTTCATATATATGTACACATGCATGATTCGACTATCCGCGATGATTTTTAATAATGTAAAACAAAGAAATAGTATATTTCTAACCTAGGGAGGGAAAATAAAGGATCTTTAGCCACCAGTGCAATTACCAGCCGAGTCGAAGGCGAGGTTGGTAAGCACGTGGCTGAGGGTCCTTTATTTTACTTCCCGTGGTTAGAACGCGATTTTCCGTCTCGGCGTAGGCGCAAAGACAGAGTTCCCTCCCGCGAAGCGGGAGGGAAATGTAACTTTGCGCCCGCCGGGACGGAAATAATTATATGCTATCAAAATTGATCATCCATTTCTTATCACTCTTGACTCCCTAACGTATTTATCGCTGAGAAACCGATTTTTTTAACCTAAAATATTCCACCCATGACTGGTTTCAAACCCGGGACCTACAGATTACTAATCGTACGCCTTAGCCAACTAGCCTACCGCGCTATTCGTGCATTTTGAAATTCGTACTGTCTATATAAACCACGGTCGCCTGCACATACATATTTTCATCATGTTTTTCAACATTTAAATAGTTTGATATGATATTACCAATTATAAATTCACCCCCCCTTCCCCTCCTACTTTCGGCAGACGTTCGGTAGACATTCGGCAATCGGCTAGGATTTTATCAGTGTCCACTAGTCCTAAAATGGAACACAAGTGATGAGATCACCCTATTCGAGGGTCAAACGATCATAAGGGTCAAGCTGAAGGGTTGAAAAATAGAATCTCGAGGATCAAGTGAGGTCAATGAAGAATATAATGATGAGTATAGACGGATACTGAGGGTGGATTAGCAAATAAAAAGTAAGGCAATTATCTTGGTTACATGGGAGGAATGTGCAATTCTAATGGCCGACTGACCCTAAAACAAATTGAAGGGGGGGGGTGTATGATGAGAAGCATATTCTTTCGATTTGTCTAAGTCGGGTTCGGCTGGCCAGATAGGGTATGCCTTATCTGGGCCTTATGAGAACTACATAAGGTATACCCGATTCGGCATGCCTGACAATACACGAGGCTCGCACCGAATTCGGTGGAGATGCGGTGAAGCCGGATTTGGTATGCCTTATCTGGGCCTTATGAGAGCCAGATGAGGTAAACCCTATTCGGCATGCCTAACGAAAAATGAGACTCGTGCCGAATTCGGTGGAGGCTAGATCCGGCATGCCGTACATAAATTCTAGTCAGGATGTCAGAAAAAGGAAGAACAAATTTCTTTCGTAGGCATGCTCCTTTTTTTTCTAAAAATTATTCCGTTTTTTTCGGTATTTAAGTGGTGTCCAATATTTCCATAAAGCGACGACCCCATACAGATGTATCCCGTACAGATAATTCAGTTAGACAATATGACTCAGTTCAGATAACTTAGCAGTGATCATTTTTGACCCGTACGAGACATTGTTACACCGTAGTTCAGGCTGAACCGAAGGACCATCCGTAGATTAGCCGTATGACCCGTACATTATCCGTACATTACTCGTACATCACCCGTATTTGATGTGAATAGTCAAACCGAATTTTTAATCATAACATGAATGGTTAGTGCCAAATTATACTGAATTCTCTATTAATTGTAAAGATATTTGGCGGAATTTCTCTGATTTCCCCCATGGAAAAATATATAAAAAATATATATAATATAGGTCAATTTAATAAGGGAGGGCCGGGCAAAATGGGACGTGTTGAGATCTTTTCCAATTGTTAATTTCTTCATTTATAAATGAAGATCTTGACAACTAGAGGTCACGAAACGTCCCATTTTGCCCGACTCTCCTCTATATTCTTCTAATATATATAAGATTTATATTTTATATAATCTTTATATATAAATCAGGTTAATTTCATATGTAAAATATATATTTTTCACAATATATATTTTTCCGTATAGGTCTATCAATTTCCATGGAATAATTGCATCAAATCATATATAATTCTATCGAGTGGTAGATTTGCAATGACGTAATCCCTTGGAATTTCGTTGAAAATGTCACTTTATGAAAATTTTCAAGAAGTGTCTCAATAATTTTAGCCACAAATCACCACCAGTGAATCCTCAAGTATTCGAAAGCTGCTCCACTCCCGATAATTCAAAAAACAAATTTAAACATGGACTCACCTAGGCTCCACGATTCCCCAAAGCTGATGGTATTTGATGAAGTGTATCAATCTCTCTTGATTTATATGTAGAGTCATGGTCCCTATCTATGGAGCTTATCATTCATTTCCTCCTTATCGTCGCAAAAATTGAACGACACGAACCAAAAAATACTCTGGCATTCGATCGTAATCAATCATTGCCATAAGACGCAATTAATCACTCTTCAAAATCTTTGGATATCAATCGAATTGAAGAAATCATATCTTGAGGATTTGTTGCAAACATCTGGCTGAAAGACATGCACAAGTCCTCGAGTACTAATGATTCTAAAGTCATCAAAGTGGTGTAAGTGCTATTGAAACCTGTAATACCCACTCACAGTCGCAAACTTGAGAATCACCAACGTGAACGGGATGAAGAATCACTGGTTGGAGGGGTTTGGGCTCTCTCTACTCGTGATATTTTACCCAAACTCACTCGAATCGTTTTCCCACCCTCGATTCCTTGCTCACTTGTACTTGAAGAACCCGGAGTATTTTACCTCGGCCCCTTCGACGCCCTTCTCACCAAAACCCCCGGCATTAATCCTCCTCGAGAAGAATGACATATATAACCACCACCATGTATTTTCTTTCCATCATTCCTCGAAATATGAGGAGGCAAAAGGGAGAAATCACTGAATTAATCATTTCGCAAGATGGGCTTGAATTACGTGACTGGAAAAAAAACCATAATCAACGGAGTACACGGAGGAAAAAGTACCGGGAAAATTATTGTGCTAGCACGGTAAAGTGGTCCCGAGTCAAAATTTTACCGGGTCTCCCGACGTAGTTTCAACGTTTTAAACCTACGTTGCTTTGATGTTCAAATTCTCCGCCGAATTTTCACTGTACTTTCAACTTATCTCAACGTGAAGGCCCATGGAGTTGAAAAACATTCAATATCCGCCGTATATTAAACGTACTCTCAACATTAATGACGTTTGTTTTCTGTTAACGTACGTTGTAAGTTTCGACATGTGATTGTATCAAGGTCATTATTGACGATAGTTGAAAAATTCATTATCGTGTTAAAGGCTCAGGTAACTAAATTATTAGTGTTAGTACATTAATAACATTAGTTCGAAGATCAAACAATCGTGCGTCTGACGGGTGAGTTGGATCCAAGGGTCAGAAGGGTTAATTTAGTATAAGGGTCAGATGAGTATAAGGGTGAGTTGAGTCCAAAAGATTACGCGAATCTAAGGGTCAGATAAGTTAAAGCCTCAGTTGAGAATGAATGTCAGTTGAGTTTAAAGGTGAGTTGAGCCAGAGGGTCAAAAGACTACGAAGGATCAGGCGAATTCAAGGGTCTGTTTTGTAAGGGTGAGATGATTAAAAACCTCAGTTGAGTTCAACTGTCAGTTGAAATTAAGGGCCAGTTGTGTGTAAAGGTCAGATGAGTGCGAAGGCCCTATTGGGCCTGAGAGTCAGATGAGTCTAAGGCGAGGATAAGGGTCAAATGAGTCTGAGGGTCAGATCGATTCTGAGAGTCAGGTGAGCCAAAGGTCATCTGACGTTTAGATTAAACTGACCCTTAAACTCAACTCAGCCTTTTACTCATTTGACCTTTAGATTCGCCTGACCCTTCGTACTCTTTTGACTCTTAGGCTCAACTGACTCGTAGATTCGCGTGATCCTTCACACTCAACTGACCCTTAAATCCGCCTGACCCTTTGTAGTTGTTTGACCCTTAGACTCAACTGACTCTTAGATACGCCTGATCCTTCGGACTCAAATAACCCTTCGACCCATCTGACCCTTAAACTCAACTGACACTTGGAAGCAATTGACCTTTAAACTGAACTGAAGCTTTTGCGGATCTGACCCTTACTCAACAGACCCTCAAATTCGCATGATCCTTCGGACTCAACTAATCCTTAGACCCATCTGACCCTTAAACTCAACTATCACTGAGACACATCTAACCTTTAAACTCAACTGAGACTTCTACTTATCTGACCCATACTCAACTGACCCTTATATTCGCCTGACCCTTCGTACCCTTTGACCCTCAGATTCGTGTGATTCTTCGGACTTGGCTGACCCTTATATCCATCTGGCCCTATGCTGAAGGTTTTACGTTTATTGATAAAAAAAAAAATCCATCTGGCCCTCATACTCATCTGACCCTTAGATTCATTTGACCCTTAAACTCAATTGACCCTTAAACAAAACACTTGAACACAACTGATCCTTAAACTCAACTTAGCCTTTTACTTATCTGACCCTTACTGTACTGACCCTTACATTCGCGTGATTCTTCAGACTCAACTAACTCTTACACTTATCGGATCTTTACACTCACTGACTTTGATATGAAGGATCTGACCCTTAGACGCCTTAGGCCCGGTTGCACCACCCCCTGTTAAAGTTACCAGCCAGTAAACCTCAGGTAAATCTTTGATAAATTTTATTCGGATGTTACTGGAGGTTTATCGAGAGTCTACTTAACAGAGATTTATCCCCCCGGTAAATGTCTGTTAAGTAATCCTCAATTAGTTTGCAATGATTTCATTTTTTAAACTTTGAAAGGTTTGAGTTTGATTTTTCATTTTAAACTTTTAGGAAACATATTAAAAATCTGAAAAAAATTGGAGTCTGCTGTTGGAACAGAATTGATAAAATAATTAGAAAATTGCAATATTTGAAAATTAGGGGCGAGTGGGGCGAAGTGAAACGACCCGGCCAAGTAAAACGAGGGGTAGAATGAAACGCGGAAGAAAGTGAAACGGTAGCGAATTTCATTCTTAAGGGTCAAATAGTTTTGAGGGTCAAATGAGAGAGTGATCAGGAGGATCGAAAGTTCTTAAAGGTCAGGTGGGAGAGAGATAAGTACAGTAATCAGAAGAGTCGAATAGGAGAGAAAGGTGCAGAGATCACTCTACTTGTTTCTGCCTTAAGACCCTGAGAGAGTTGCAGCCATTTGATTTTTTCCACTGTTTCTCAAAACTGTTCGACCCTTCGTTATTTTTTTTGGTAGAGGGATAGAGGGGTAAAAGGGACCGTGTGGGTAAAATGGACCACAAACTGTTTTTCATTTAAGGAGAGGTTACTATGAGTTTTAAAAGTCACGGAATATTGCAGTGAGATTTATCGTACATTGAAGATCGATTATATATCTTGAAAAACGAAGAATGAGTGCAAAAAAAGATTGTTTATTGTATGTTTGCCCCCCAGGCGTTTGAAATCTAAAAAAATAGTCCAGTGTACTCAATTTCTGAAAATAATTATAGTATTTTGGATTTGAGGAAAAAATTTAGAAGTATACATTCTCCGGGCTATTTTGCTTGAATATTGCAATTTTTTATTCGGAAAAGAATGAAATTGGTTATTTAGAAGTCGATTTCGAAAAAGTACCTCGTAATTGTTATTCTACAGATCTTGTGAAAAATTTTGAAAACTATAGATTCTGAGATTTTCAATCAAGTTTGTCTATTGAAGTAGCTCCACCCGCACGATAAATTTGAAAATCATTAAAAACTGCAAGGAATTCCCATGAAATTCGATTCGATTCGGAAGCGTATTTTTTTCTCAATTTAATGGCCGTTTGGATTTTTTAGTGAAAAAATGGTGGAAAATCAGGATTTAAACCAGTGCGGGGCTGTTCATTTATTATGAAAAACATTCAGAGGGAGGGTCCTAGGATTTCTGAGGTCATNGAGGGGGGGGGGAGGAGGAGGGTGAAAATGTCATATAAATACGGTAAAAGTCACGTGTTACCAAATAAAATTTCCAGTGCTGGAATTTTTCTCTGGCCGTCACTTTGAGCGCTTTTCCAGTGCCAGCACTAGAATTTTTTTAGAGAATTTCTCTCCGTACAAAATTCGAAGTGGAGGCAAATCCGTTACGATTACGAATAAATGATTTTTAGGGTGGAAAATTGATTGTTGCTGAAGGATTTATGGAAAACGATAAAAATATGAATTTGTTAATTATTTCATAAATTTTTCACACGAAACAGTGTAACAAAACGGTTATAGATCCTGTCAAACAGTGAAACAATTAGAAGGTCCAAACGGGAAAGATTTTCTTCCTTCACCCTCCCGTATGGCCCTTGTGATCCTTTCAGGCGACTCTAACGTTTGACCCATATAACTATTTGATTCTACCTGTCCGTTCGGCCCTTGTGAAATAAGAGCTTTGGACTCTGGTAAACTGGGTGGCCCTGATAACCCATTTTACCCCTCTCCTCCCCCTAGTTGATAGGAAAAAAAAACAAATTATCTGAATTCCGCTATACATTCGGTTTTTGCTATCGTTTCATTTTACCCGGCGTTTCACTTTACCCTGGGTCCCCTACGACCATTTTTTATGGATAATAATTATTATATAATATAATTCATTCATTTATAAAAAATCAATTTTCCGGCCTGAAAATACTTTTTTCGAAATCGTAGCAAATTTATAAATTTTTAGAATTTTACTAGAAATCATTTTCATGCACAAAAAATAAGGTTCCCAAACGTTCAAACAATTTCAATTACTTATTTATGAGAAGGAAATGTTAACAATAAAAAAATTCTTTACAAAATGGAATTTGAATGAAGCTCGATATCCATGAATTTTTTCAAATTTACGCATAAGAATCTGAGATAAAATTAGAAAGTCTACTTCTGGAGAAAAATCTATAACATAATTCAAAAGATACGATTTTTGAAGATGACGATCATTTTTCATGAAAAATTTATTTAAAATATGAGTGTTTCACCCTGTAACGATTTTTTTGTAAATCCTAACAAATTTATTAACATTCAGAATTTCACCATCAATCGATTTCATGCCTAAAAATAAGGTTTCCGAAAGTTTAAACAATTTTAATTATTTATTTGCAAGAAGGGAATGTTTGAAAGGATAATAATTATTTACAAAATGTAATTGAAATAAAGCTGAATATCCATGATTTTTTTTTCAATTTTCACACGTCATTTGATTGAAAAAGTTAATCATTGAAAATGTCTGAATGTATAATGTGTTCCGTATCAAACTGTAACAAGTACTTAAATATATCCTCAAATTTACTGGGTGGTTTACTGGGGACATACTGGACCAGTAAA